TGAGGGACAAATTTCCCCCTTGGCGGTTGCCGGTAACTCCACTTGTTCTTCTGTTTCCCGTTTGGCCCGAAGGGCTACGCTTCGTTGGGGCCTTTGTGTTATTGTGCATGCGGGTTCGATCTTGAGAGCTCCGCGGGTCAGGCGGCACCCGCGCGAGGTGAAGGTAAGGACACGTCTTGCGAATATAATCCTGTACCATTTGGTTGAAAGTGTGCTGGTAAAGCAGCTCCTTCACGTGGTCCAGCTTGAGACGCTCAACAGTCGGCTCGCACTGCCCATTGGCGCCGCTTTGGCGGTCGTTACTGTTCCGAGAGTCTCCCTTGGAGTCTGCAGCTGGTGCGGCGCTGCCTGGACTGGCAGAACTTGGCTTGCTTGCATGACGCAATAAGCTCTCGACGGATGGAAGTAATTGTTGCTGTTGGACTAGAAGCAACATTACTTCCATGTTAGTTATCACATCGCATCGTTCTTCCAGCACTTTCATTTTGCAGGCACGAAGGAAGAAATGAAGTCGCTTTCAGAACAGTAGCTATACTCACTGCCCTTCGCGTGATCGGCACTGGGGGCTCCGCTAAGTCTTCATGAGCACGTACACTTCTTCAGCCTTGGTACATATGAATGTGGACCAAGTAGAAGTGAGCGCATTCGATGCGCATTCTGTCCTGCCATTGAAGCAAAAACCTTGAAGGGGCTCTTAGATACAGTCCCCACCTCAACTCTGCCAGCCTCCAAAGAGCAGTAAAGCGTTTAATTAAGCAAATTGTAGTGAATGACCGCGAACAGGAGTAGATAACCGACGGCGCTTAAACAGACCCTGGAGCCGCAAGTAGGAAAGTAATAAAGTTCCGGCGCAAGATACGCCTTTACGGAAATTATTCGTAAAATAATATGTACTGAATGGACCTGTCACGCTTTCATGAAAGAAAGAAGTGACGTTTGAGTTGTCCATGCATATTTCGCTGCCTGAGTTACGCATGCTTGCCAGCCCTATGAGCATTGCTGGCATCTTCAACGGGCGAAAGTGAGTTTTGAGGAATTGCAGTTGCTAGTTTTATACGATTTAAAACAGATAGAGTGGAACTAGTGAGACATAGTAGCTGCCAACTCTTTCCCGCAAGGGGATTTGGGGCCCTCTTCACAAGACCAAGCGCTAGCTCAGGAGACCGTTGTCGGCCTAGTCTTGGATGCATGTCATGCGTGAGGTGGAACAAATACCTCGTGTCTATAAATGAAGGCTTTTCACGGGACAGCTGAGCAGCTCCTGTGGAGTGGTTGATGGTTTGCTCTCAGCCCCAGCAGCGCCCGAGTAGAGAAAAGCATGTCCCTTTTCTTCGCCCGTTTGTTGTTTACTGGAGATCTTCGCATAGCAGTCTGCACATGGTCTCAAGATGGAACAAGTGGACTTGTTTCTCACACACATCCCTCCAGTGACTCGGGTCTGTCTCGTGGCGTCCACCGTGTTGATGGCACTATGCACGCTTGAGATCATCTCTCCGTTCTCTTTATATATGAACTGGCAGCTTGTATTTGCACACGCACAAGTCTGGCGCTTAATTACCTGTTTCCTTTTCTTTGGAACGTTTTCTTTACACTTCTTCTGGAATGTTTATGTCTTGATCTTCTACTGCTCAACCTTGGAGGAGCATCGCCGCAGTGCGACATTTCTGTGGATGCTTATATGCACTGGGGGCCTTCTTCTGGTACGTCTAAGTAGCAGTTACATTATAGGCGCGTTTGCAGCTGTCGTTGATGGGAAACCCTCTATAATATAAACAGATGTGACAGCCGACCCCATGTCCCCTTCCTAATTTTTTCATCGAAAACAATTTGTTCGTTGTGTCGCCTTCTTTGACCAACATTGTGTTTTTCAGGCGTTCTCATACATTTTCGGAGTCAGCTCATACTTCTTCAGCGGCTCGATGATCAACGTCATGACCTACATCTGGGGTCGACGAAATCCGAATACTCGTCTGTCCATTTTTTTTATGCCTGTACAGGCTCCCTACCTTCCATTTTTACTTGCATTGCTATCATTGTTAGTGGGGTGGAACATGGCGGACCATCTCGTTGGCATTGCAGTTGGACACTTTTACTACTTTTTCGAAGATGTCTACCCTCTGTTGCCCACGAGCAAGGGATTCCGCATCTTCCGCACACCTCGAATATTGATGTGGCTCTTGAAACAGCCGGAAGACTAGACTGATGCGCCTGCTATACGCGATGTTCGGACTCTCGGAAAGCAGCCGTGAGGCAATTCAGTGGGCATTGTATGATAGCAGTCACCGCAGGATACAATGGACTGCGGCTGGGCCAATTAGTACGTTACCGCACCTCTCAGCTGTCGGTTTAGAAGCTCGTGCTAGACAAATAGGAGTAAAGTTTGCGGTTTAGTAGGACTGAGCTGAACATGCCTTGCAACCACTCCAATGGGCCTTGGTCTTGGCTTCCTGCGAACTGGAAGGCTGGTTCCCGGTATGCTCAATTGTTAGAACTGGTGCAAACAGCGGCGGGAGACTTCTTCTTTTGTTAAGCCAACTCAAGATCCGACCATGGTGGCTTCAGCGAGGTATATTCACTTGGTGGATCCTGCTTTTTCTTTTGCCAAGGGCCTACTGGCGACCAGTATAACATAAAGTTCTGTCGTTTCTGCGTGGTCAAGAGGTGGCACGGCTTAGGCAGTCCTGTATTAGTGCTACTGATAGGAGCCGATACTTTTTCGACTTATGCACTTACCTGTCGTTGCTCGCTTGAGTCGCTTCTCGAGAAAGAATTGCACCCAGACGCTGGGGCGAAGAGCTTTTCAGCCATTCGGCTTAACGTGCAACGAAGTAGGCAGTCAAGTGTTTACTTTGGGGGATGATACAGAAGTTGCTAGGCGCAAAGGAGTTGTACAAATAATTACAAGCATGAGCTAGGTGGAACACCGCGCTAGTATATTTAGCACGTATGACTGCCTTCGGTTTAGTGTGAATTTCAGACTTGGAGACCATACACAGTAGTAACACTCAGAAGAGTCCTTGAAGCCTGCCCGGGATGAGCGTAGGATTAGCATAGAGCATGCAAAGGGTGGACGCATTGGTGCGCATTCATGCGAAGCTGTGGCGGCCCCAAGAGAAACGGGTGGGGGGAAAAGTTTTTCTATGAGAGTTCAAATCTCTCCTTCCGTATTAAATATGAATAACTCCACAGGCTGGGATCGTAAATAAGTAAATTAGATAATAACTCTGGTTGAAGAAGCAAGAAGCTGCTCCCCATTAAAGTATCACTTGAGTTGGGTTCATAACGTCGTGAGGCAGTTCGGTCCATATCCGGTGTATACAAAATAACATTGAGTTTTTCTTTGAGTACGAGGGGACCAAAGAGCGGCAGCACAGCGAAGTAGGCAGCAATCCACTAGCAGTGCGTTGCGACATCCTCCCGGTGTGAGGGGGTCTCTTCCGTTGCTCATGTAAATGCTGTACAGTTACTTGCTCACGCTCCTTCGTGCAGACAGAGGCGCGGCGAAACTACAAAGCTTTCCGGTTATCTCTAATGTTCTTCCTTGCTTTGGATCTCCATTCTGCTTCTGATACGAGGTCAAATATCTTCCGCCCGCTTTTTCGTGTGGCCAGCGGTAGGAGCGCCATATTGCTGAACCTGACCTTCGGCTAGTAGTTTGAGTTTCACCAAACTTTGTGCTTCAAGCAAATGCTAGCTGCAATCTTCTCTCAGCCATAGGGATCGAAGGGAGACACCATATGATCCAACTTCTAGCCTGAATCCGCATCTAAATAATAGTCAGCGTGTGCAGTTGCCTTTCTCTCAGTCATTGAAGGCGACCGTATTTCAGTGCCGCGTTCTTCATGCCGCAACCAGTGGTAGTTCCGCAGGCTGCGATAGGATGGCTCGCGAAACCGTTTCCTTCGGAAACTAAACCGAAATAGGCTTGTCAAGACTACTGCCTTACACCGCAATAATTTCACTAGAAGTGAAATTCTTGGAAGTTTTCGATGGGTTTGTTTCAGTGGGCTTGTCCAATGGACCTGCCTCACGTTTTCGGTTGTGAAGAGATGAGGCACGCCCTAGTAAACTGGGCTCTTTGGAGCAAGAGTACTAGTGCTTTAGTCAGGTTATGGCCTTGAATTAGTGAAGGATTCGTTATACTTAGCCAAACTGGGGACTGCGCCCGACGTGCTCTTGTCCACAGGCAAGCGTCAGGTTGCAAATATCATCCAAACCGCGTCGTTATTTCAAGAACTGTCCGGAACGAAATCCCACGCAGAACGTATCTAATAAAGTACCTAAGATTGGTTATTCTTCCTCTCTAATCTTATCACTGGTCTGAGCGCGTGACGGAGCCAGCAGTACACCCTAGCGATCTCCTCCGCTACTTCTCGAACTGGCAACTAGAAAAGCATTCCTCATAGTCTCCTTCAGTTCAAATTTTGCCACTTTTGTGGTTGTGAGAGCGTGTATGGAAGAAGTTGTCAAACTCTGTGGCAGAAGATGACCTGGCAGGGTGAAATTCTGCTTAGTGAAATTCCCACCGTTCCAGAAGGACAGTTTGGGTGAACGGAATTTCATTATACAAGAATAAACCTAAGACACATGTTATTATTGCATCAGATCATACACGCAAGCTTTTAACTGCAATAAAGCTCGTAAAACTCTTCATTTTACAGGCACTTGGGAAAGACGTGATCTTAGTGACCTATCACAAACGACACGCAACTTCTTGAATTCCCCTCACAGAGGCTTCGTTCGACAACATGACGACTAGAAAAGTATTTAAAACACATGTAAAAGTAATTGGACCACTTTGCGGGCCACATTTGCTCATTTGTTGCAGGGTTTGCAAGATGAAGTTGACCTTCAGGCCGTTGCCATACAAGCGTACTAGTCTGTATTTCGTGACAGCTTGTTTGTAGGTAGCTGCGTTCTCCGTGTCATTTTGTAGTACAATATGTTTAGTGGACGCACAAATTAATCGAAACCATCGGCTTCAGCACCAACTCGAGAAAATGGCTGCGCAGGAAGCCGGCTTCGGTCGGATTTCGGACGACCAGATAGCAGCCGTGATTCGGTATTCTGACGAATGGGCATTTATTGAGTACATGCTCCAAATAAGCACACGAACGTCTCGTGTGAAGCTTCTCCAGGCGTGGCACCTGTCTCCGCCGCAGGTGGTGAACCAGTTTGAGAGACGTACAGCCGTGAGATCAACGTCGTCAGACTAAATTGCTCAGTTTGCGCCAAATAGGCGTGCAAATGGCCATGAATATGACTAAAAATTGCCAGCCTTCATGCACCGAGAAGCATGCGAAGAAGCGCTCTCCCTTTGGTCTCTGTGCAGCGGCGTCTGGTGGTTTATTCATTCGTGGAAGCTTCACTGCTTGACGAGGAGAACACTATTCAAAATGTCACTAGACGCGGCTTCAAAATTGACTCTAGGGGTATGAAATTTGTACTCGGAAATTTCAGGTGTGTGGTGTTAGTCTTAACACTGCACAACTTCCAGAACAAAAGCACCAAAGTTGTCGCCGTCTGTTGCCTTCTCTTGGCGGATGTGAGGCCACTGAAGCACAGCGAAGGCGACTATACGCTTGTGCATATTTGTTAAGCCTGCAGGGAATTCCTCTTCTTCGCGGGGCATCAGCTCAAGCTGTGGATCCATTCACACTCCCATCATGTAGGCAATAGCTCTACAAGGGGCTGCTACTCCACACATTACATCCTCCACCAGCAGGCAGCAAGCACACCTGCTTCTGTATCCTGGTCCTCGACAAAAACTGCCATATGTTCTTTGCCCTGTGGGGTTCTTCCGTTTTCGATATTAGTGATCCTCTGTCCTTTCCCAAGATGCATACAAGTGTTCCAATGTGTGCTGCGCAGCTGAGTTGACGACCAGTGCGAAAGAGCAACAAAAAGATGAACGCTCGGCTTTCATTGAGGCGGCGAAATCCCAACTTCTCAGTGGAGAACGACGTGTTTATGAGTTTTTTCTGTGCAAAGTTGGTGAGGAACCGTCGTAACAAATTCTGCAGCGGCGCAGCTCGCAGCTGCCTCCTTTAAAGGGGCTAAAGGCTACTTGTGAGCCGTTGCATTAATTCGATAGCGAAAGTATCCCGTGTAGGCTACTTGCGTCTCCAGCGAAGCAAACTGTACTGGGGATCGCTGTACGGGTGCTCCAAAAGTTTTGTTTGTCATCAAAGACTCGATTTTGCTCGGTCTTCAGGAGTAGGTCACTCAGTGGTCATGAAGGATGAAAGGGAAGCGTCAGGAGAACGCACCACGCTTCCTCAGGAATACGATAGTGCGTATCTTGAAAATGGAAACACAGCCCCTACAGAGACACTCACTGTCTTCTTTGATGATCCTGACCAGTACTTGACTAAAGGCTCGTCTAGTGTCAGGAGAAGGGAAGCCATTCAGCAGGTCAAGAAGGGGCTCTCCATGGCTACAGCAGGAGTGTTGCCTCAACACACAATGCGCCAGGAATATGTTGTCTACGATTCATCACAGGTTAGATCACTGCAAGACCAGCAATGGATACAAAGTCTGGTATTTCGACTTTCGCCCAGACAAGTTTGTTGGTTTCTTATGTGGCAAAAATGTCACGTAGCCGCCGCTTGCTGAAGAACTTCAAAGTGTGTCATGCGAATTGCACCTTGCGGCATCTTAGGTATTGCCAGTTTACTTGGTGCTCTTTGAAGTAGATTCTACAGAACCTGAGCTATTTGCCGTACCCCTATGTGAAGCTTGCCAGGACTTCCCTGCTTCAATATGGTGCCCAGCGGACACGGCCAAGTACGAGTGCACAAATTAGAAAAGTTGATAAGACTCATATAAAAATTCAAAAGGCACAGCACATGGTGTTTTCCCATTACATTCTCTTTGTTCTGGACTCGTTTCCTCAGGCTGTGTGAGGCTTGTGACGGGCGCCTACACTCCCACAACAAGCTTGTTTCAAGGCACATTAGAGTCCCTCTAAATGAGGTTAGAAGCTCACAGGTTCCGTAGATTGATGCCCCAAGAGCTAGATTGTGTTTTGAAGGGAAGCACAAAGTGCTGCTGCTTCCCTGATTTCGTGAGCGCTCAGATGCCCAAACCAAGTGGACGGTGCAAGCAACATACAGAAGAAGCCTACGAGTCATTCTGTACAATGTGTCATGCTCCTGTCTGCCGACTTTGCCGACCCAACCACATCCACGCAGATGTAACGGGTGGCTCAGCCGCCAACGACTTCGAAGGTGACTAGGGCTTGACAGGACGCCGGTAGGGCTAATGAATGAGACTTCCGGTGGTAGTATGGACCTCCATTGTGGCGGCTGGCCTACAGACTTGAAGATGCCTGCGTGCGTGCACGCTTAATGCACGCAGGAACGCCCACATTAATATCGCTTTCACTGGCATACTCTGGTGTTTTAGAGAGAGCTCGCCAACCCCACCTCATTTTAAATAAGCGCAAGACAGACCTGAAAGAAAGGCTCGAAAGGCTTCAGATTCTGATTGAGTAGGTCTTGCCAGGGCTTTTGCTGGCTGCTTTTGCTTCTTTTGACCTGCGACTGCAAAAGCCGTTGCCGCTGTCCTTGCTCTTTTATTCAGCGGCGCTCGCTGTAACTATCGATCCGTCGAGCAGAGGTGTTACTCCATCCTGGGAGAATCGATGAATCAGCTTAAGGTGAGCAACCAGAGCTCTGTAACAATCCACCGAAACTATCTGAAAGCCCCTTGGCTAGCTAGATACATCGTGACTTCAATGGCGACTACGTTCCGTGGAAGCAGGTACTTTGCTCTGCCTCCGCACCGCAAAAAACTGCGAATTTCTTAGCTATGTTGTGAGCCGCATATCCCCCCAGTCGTGCACGGAAGATAAAATGGGTGCAGTTCTGTCCCAGCAATTCGAGCTGCAAAGACGGATGGATATGATTGAGTGGAGCGAGCAATTTCTGCGGCTTTTGCGTTCCGTACTACCCCCAGCCGACTTCTTGGCTGCATGGTGATTCGTGATTGCAACCTGAACCCTATGGCGTCCCCACTTCCAAACTGCATCGAGAGGCTCATAAGCTTAATTTGGCTCGTAGAAACACAGTTCAGTAGTGTGTTTTCTTCCATTGTGGAATGATGTGCAGGCTTCGGCAATGCCGCCAAAGAGACGAAGTAGAATCGCTCAGCGGCGACTGGTCAGACCTCTCCCAGATGGTTTTGGTGAGCTTGATACAAGATTACAACGAACTAGCTGGGATAGTTAAGACCTCAGTAACACGTCTACAGTAAAGAAACACTATACTAGGCGAATCTATTTGGGGATATTTGTGCACCGAATATTCAGCCAAACATGCGTCTGGACGGTACGGTCGAATTTCTTACGGACTCCGCACTGCGACACAGAGAATTGCATCGGATACAAGGTAAAAGAGAATGAAATATATCACGTTCCCTCGCTCGACCGGCTCGACCGGCTCCGGGCGCCGGTCAGTTTCCCTGAGGTCAGTGATGAGTCTTGGAGCGAAGTCATTAGCCAGCAAGCCAGCAAGGAAGTTCCGTACTACTCTCTACGAGGTTTACTGTTTTTGCATAAACGGGCTTTTGTTCTTGCCTTGGCGTATGCTGCTGTCTCTCAGACACAGGCTCTGCGTAGAAGCAAGTGTCGTTCCCGCAGTACAGACTTTGTAGCCTACCACAGTGCCTTGCATGTAATTCCGTCAGTTGCAATAGGGGCCTTACATACGACCCATAACATTACATAGCACTACAAACATCTAAGCTGCAAATGTAGCTATCCAGAGTACGCATAGAAACCCCTTGAAGTGAAGCACACCGCATGACCACTTTACGCGCACTTCCAATGTACAAGGCGGAACTGCAGTCGCCGTCCAATCTTTTCCCCGCACGCAGCGTGCGTAGCAGTAGCATGCTTTAAACGCAGGTATTCATGCAACCCATTTGGAAATTTGGCCGTTTGTCCGCCGCAGTATTGCTGGTTTTGCCTTGGTCTTGGCACTATTTGGTTTGTGACGGCATTGGTAGTGACGATTAACTCCTTCAAAGACTATCCTGCCTTCAAAACGCTGTGATCCGTCATCGTCCACACTCGGCTAGCATATATCAGATCAATAGCGTTGTTCGATTTAATGGTTCCCTGCACTACAACACGAAGCCTTATGGTCCGATTGAGCGAAACATCAGCTCTATATTGAGCCCAATTCGGGTGCTAGTAAGATCCCATAGCTCCATCGCTCCCCTGCGACACCTTGAATGCGGGAGAGTCATCTCCTATCTTTGCGCCTACCGGCTGTCCTTACTCACTCCAAAACAGTACACCAAGAATTCAGCCTCGTGCACAGTGAGGCCGCGCTTGGTGGCCTTTGATCTCTGACGCATTCAGCTTGTACGGCCTGCTTGCCCTTGAATTCCATGCGGCACGGAACCAACGAGTGCGTTCAATGGCTGACGCCCCCTAGCTGAGGAAACAAACACAGGAGGATCCAGCAATTCTCGAGTCTAGTGAGTAGAATTTCCTGTCTTTGTGTGGGCTGAAGCTCGCTGTGTCTTGCAGACTATTAATGCGACAGCAACCTTGAGAATATGGTCCCGCTACACCCACTTCCCCCTAAGTAGAAAGAATTCGGCTCAGTCACGTTATGAAGGACCTTGCTTCTACTACAAAGGTGCTTAGTATTTCGCTGTCTCACCAGAGTTGACTCCTTCCACGGCATCCAACGTGTTATGTGGCCCTCCAAGCACAGCTAAAAGATTGCGGCATTCAATGAACCCCTCTGGAGCGCGAAATTCACTCAGTTCCTCGCTTCGTTTACCACAGGCTGTAGTTTGTGGTTCATTTCTTTTCGCTGCGCGCCCGCCTTGTGCCCTCTCGGTTGCTCCATTTCGCATCTCGTTCGCAGAATGTGAAATTCCTTGGTAATACTGCAGAACAGCTTCTAGCGGTGCAGCATGCCTCTCTCGAAGTCTTCTGAACAGTCTTAAGAAAACGCTGCGGGGAAAAGCTTTCGCCCCCAGCGACTCCTTGTATGGCAGCTGCATCCCCAAGTCCAGAAGCTCATACCCTGGAGTCTCACGCATAACGCAGCAAGCAATGCAGCTTAGCCATAACTGAACTTACGACTCCTACGCGCGTGCAGCGTGAACAGCACAGCGGCCGGGATCGTGTTCCCATGCGCAGCCGAATTGCTTTGGTCACCTGATTTACTGAGAAGCAGCCGAGTAGCTGCAAGTTGAGCAGTGCCAGCTGAGTCAGCATCCGTGAAAGCGGTGAGACTGGTGTAGACACTGCCTATGGAGACACCAACTTCTCCAGCTACAAGACAAAGGTCCTTATACCTTGAACTCGGCTCCCCTACATGACTAGACGAGCCAAGAGAAGCCAACACTTCCGACAAATCCGTTGTGGTTGCAGATGCTTCTTCTGCGGAATCAATTGATGCTTCCGACTCTTCCGATGAGATGCGCTGCAATGGCATGAGCTTAACTTTTTCTATGTTGCAAAGCGGCACCCAAACCTCGAAACTGTGAAGCTGCACATCTTCAGGACAGTCTTCATTGCAGGGCTTTGCAGGCGCGCAACCGCTACTGCCACATGATTCGCCAGGAGACCCCTCAGTCACGTCTCCCCGCCTACGTTGTAGTTCGGTGTCACGCAGAGTTCGTCGGTGTAAAGCTCTGAGGCACTTTGGTGGATTTCAAACCGCGCAACACACATATGTTTGCGATGCGACTGCAGTTGTTGGTACGCAGGCCTGATACAAGGCTTCCCTTTGAGGTGTAGACGTTCACAATTGCGATGACAGAGGGATACACCTCCATACGACTCCCCTGTCCCCGCAAAGGCAGCATCGAGTAATCGTTTCTCCTGTGCGTTAACATTTTCAAGTAAGAAAAACACAAACCAGCTCACCTGCCTCACAGGCTTCCAAAGCCAGTTTTCTCCATGACGCCGCACACAACCAGCCAGCACCTGCATCCAGACTCAGTAAGCCAAAGGTACACATGGTGAAAACGAGACAAAGCAGAGGGCGCTCATTTCTGAAAAGTCTATAGGACTCCACTTCTGAATGCAACAGATCAGCACCTCGTCAAACGCCTTGTCCATAGAGAAAAGAAAATGCCGAGCTTTGCGTCGCAGATTCTTTGAGGCTGGAAGTGCCCCTGTCCCGGCCTTCAGCAGAAGGCACATCCGTTCTAGGTGTAACTTAGGCAGCAGCAACGTTGTGCCGGAATCTGCAGAAAAAAACAAACTACAAGAAAAGCTGGCACAAAACTGACTGGAGAATCCCTCAGTTTGCCAGTCTGTCGTGGTTATAGAACTTCACGGTCTGTCCTGCCATCTCGCACGCCACTGGGTTGTCGAGTACTCAACATAATTTCGCCTCCATATCTCTGTTTCTGATTCATGCAATGTCGCGTGTGGTTTGTGCACGGTGAGATTCGACATTCGCGTACCGTGTGAGTGTTGGAAGCACTCTGCTACTGGCAAGAAGCCAGCACGACAGAGCCTAGCATAGCTGCAGGGAGAAGCCTCCTTGGCCCACGCAAATGAGCCTAAGGCATGCAGGATAAAAGTTCTTTTAATGAGCATAAAGTGAACCTGTGGCGTTCCTTTGGATAGAGCTCGGTGAAGCGCTGCGTTGAGCTAGATCTGTGTATAGAGTTAAGAAACAAAGCTAAGCTCTAAAGAGATGCATATGCTGCTGCCAACCATTCTGCCTGCTTCCACACAAAGGTCTCAGTGAAATATTCAGTTCCCGAGAAAAGACTTGCCTGGGTAACCGCTCTGTGTGATTGCCTCCGCTAGCTGTTCCTCATTAGTGTTTTCTCCAACCATAGGTAGTTGTGACAGGTAAGGATTGCTTCTCAAGACAGCGGCAAGGCTGCTGGATGACGGAGTGGAGCAACTACAAATGCAGCAATGAGAACACCTACACGCGCGATGTTGCCGCTGTTCGTTTCGCCCATTCAGAGAGCAGTCCTCACAGACGCATTCGGAACAGCCATGACGGTGCCGGTCACCACAACTGCTGTCTGAGGGGTTATGAGCGAAGGGGACGCCCGGGACGCCCTCAGTAATGTCAAAATGGGTGCAGCTAGCAGCAGCGCTCCGGCTTGCTACAGAGGGCACCGCGGAACATGTGTGGCTTTGAGAAATATGTTCAGCATTATGACATGAGCATTTACAGCAGCAGCAACAACCTCTAACAGCAGCATCTGACAAAGAAGTTGAGGCACACAGTGCCATTTTCTGAAACGGCTCTACAGGGGCGGGCTCCTCCTGGAACCGAGTATTTAGGCCAAGTTTTGCAGCAACAGTTGGCACTTGACGCATTAACGAACCTGAAAACAGTGTTGATACCTGGAGAAGAATTCGCTGCTATCGAAGGAAACAAGCTACGTGCATGCTCATTCACCATGGGACGGGCTGCAGGCCAGGAACGGTGGCCAACACCGTTCATGAAATTGCCCCACAACTCGCATTTCATTGATAAATGTGCTACTCAAAGTGATAAAATGTAAAATTTAGGGCCTTGCGAGGTGCTGCAAGTACGAGGGTGTACCGGGAATATCAGCTACCAGCGCACGAAGGACAGACGCGAAGTGACGTGCTAAATTTCGAATTGGCAAATGCGGCGACGAATCCAGTAGAGAACTCAGATTGTGGCAGGAAAGAAGTGGGGTGACCATTGTTATCTATGGGAGGGCCTAGAAGGCCAGTGAAGCAGTTGTCGGCACCCTCTTAACACAACAGGCCAGTATGGGCTAGGGGAGAAACACTATGGAGAGACCCGACTTGGACTAAACCAATGCTGAAGATATCGATCAGGAAATATATAAACTGTAGGGTGCTATAGTTACCTACTGCAGTACAGGGACGGTGTGCGCAATTTTGGAAGGGAAGTGTAACTGCATTTTCACGAAGGCAGGGGCTGCTGCCCTAGCACACACAATTCTTGTTTGCCATGATGCAGGGGAATCGACACATGAAGAGCTGAGGTGGCCCTAAGCCTACTAGAAGCTCAAAGCCTTCGTCGCCATCCACAGTCTCCTGTGAACTGGGGTTCTCAGAGTCCGAGGGACGTAAGTTTCTTGCAGATTTATTGGTAGCACCTGAAAGCAAAGCAAATTCAACGCAAAAGCCAAATACGCAAATTCACTGTGGGAGACTTATTTAAGCTGTGGCCATTCACAAATATTGGAACCGAAACACGGTTTCTTGCCGGAGGCATGTGAAACATCTCAAGGTGCAGGACGCAACTGCAATCAGTAGTTCAGAGCCTGATTTTTTCTGTTTCTCAAGGCCTGCAGTTCAACACTTTGGCCGGAGCCCGGACTGAGGTAGGCGCTGCTCAGCCCACAAGCAGGAATTCCCAGAGCTACAGTTGTGCAGCAGAGCACAGAACATCGTCCTCTTTCCCGCCTTTCGGTACTTGCAAAGAAAGAAGATGTAGAGTCGTCCTGCAGTTGAATGCCATTCCTAGCGCTATAGTGTGTTAGGCAATATTATCTGCTGAAATCAACACAGTGGAGAGTTCACGCATTTTGCTGAGGGTAGAAGTTTATGTACTGTACAGTTAGCAACTACGTGGCCGCACCAGTGTACCTACAGCGGTGATAGTTTCAGAGAAGGAAGTAACCGCAACCTAGCGCAAGCAAACAAGCCAGGATCAGGGCGTGACGATATGCCACCAGCCAGATTCTGATGCGCCGACTCATTCAAAAGGGTTTTTTAGTGCAAATCTTAGCAACGACGTCTATTAAGCTTGCTTCGTCTGTCCTCCTTCCAGCTTCAGATTAACTGTCTCTAGCTGTCATCAGCTACTTGACTGTTTGGCAGCTGCGCTTATTTTGCAACTAAGCAACTTTGCGTTGTACCTTGTTGACAAATAGCGTGGGTTATTCCCTCTATCCGGGCTTCTGTAGACGCTTCCTGTTCTCCTAGTGCTCACACTCAACGAAAATCCGTGAAGTGGCTTTCTAGCGGTCCCGATATAAGGAGACTTCGTCCATCGGTTGCAATGCAGGAGCTACAGCCTTGGAACTGCGTGAGGCACACGTATTGCGGGCGTGAAGACTACTTATGATCGTTCGCCCTGTAGCGTGTACCTTGAGGTTCGACGCAGGCCAATCACAAAAACCCGAGAGTCCACTACTTTACATATAAGCAAGTCTAATGAATTTGGGGCTCATAGGACTGCATTCTGAAGCAGGCGTCAAGCAATTTTGGGTTTGCCTACGGAGTTCAACAATGCAAGCTGACCAGCTGGTGCGTCGTTGATCCCCTATCTGATGAAGGCACTGCTCACGCCAGAGGCAACTCAACAGCGCTCCGTTCTTTGTTAGATGATTTTTTAAACTTTTGTCATTCAAAATTAAGTCGGGGCGGCGAAATAAGCACTTGCGCAGTTTATGTGGGGTTAAGGGAGTCTTAAGGTTTAGCTTAACAGAGCCCCCACTAACCAGGGCTGACTTCCTTGAGCGTGTTCCTGTTGCTGAAAGACACAGATTCACTTTTCATAGCTCGCTCGTCGCATTTTCTGTATCAGCGGGTGATGTAACACTCCAGTAACTTGACTTGAAACAATCATGATTGCGTTTAACTCAGTCTATGCTTGAAGCCATCAAGGATGCACTTAACTCGGTTGATATAAATTCACGCCGGTACAAATTGTTCTCTCTTTTCAGTGGCCACTTCCACGTATGTATTCTAGGCCTAGTCTCCAAAGCAGTGTATGCTGGCACGGGACAGAGAAACGCGCACCTGCAAGTGCTGCTTGTCTTGCCGGCCTCCCGACCGACTTTGACGGCTCTTCCCTGTTCATAAATCTTCTTTCATCTTCTGTGTCGACGTCTGATTCCATTTATTCATCGAGCCATAGAAGAGAGAGGGGAACATGTTGTGTGGCAAGCTTTCGTCCTGACGTCATTCATGCTTCCTCGCGGTTCGTGACGACGAGGACTGTGTACCTCATTACTCGCTGCCAACAATCGAGAGCCACCAATCATATGCATTCCTGACTATTTTTGCCATAGAACTACGTGGTGCCTGCTGCCTCCGCACATTCGAGAGGGCTCTTCATGAGGCAGTAACATTTAAGGAACGAAGTCTATGAAGCTCTTGCTCGTCTCCAGGTACCTCGGGAAATGCTGGTCATGTTTGTCCGTCCCCTCTAGCTCCTAATCAGGTGTCAGTGGCAGAATGAACAGCCACGTGCTGAACATAGAGCGACGGACGACACTATTGGAAAGAATGGCGAATGAAGCAAGAAAGTGAGAGGCCACCTCCGCGTGGCAGCCAAACCTGATACCAACTCAGTTAGAGGACTTCACAGCAGACAAAGCGAACTTTATGGTAGGACAGGGAGCATAAATTACTTGAACAAAGAGACAAAGATAAAGGTGGGTGCGCAATAGTACAGCTCTTCGTACCCATCCGTCTTGCCAGGGCTTGATCCCTGCCATTCACAATAGGCCTGGCCCAACATGCTGTAGTTTAACAACAAGCTGCATGCCTGTTGTGCATTGCACAAGAATCTTTCTCTTGCGGTTCGTTACTAGAACAATTACGCGTAAAGTTAGAGCGGTGAAAGTATGAAGGGCTTGGCGCTATGTATGTGGCTCGTGCGCATTCTGTATATCTTTGGCGCCAAATACCCACTGGTTTTCTCCGGCAGCGCACAAGATTACTAGTCAGATTAGGTGAACAGATGGCCGCCGTCTACTAACAGACGTTTGCTCACACAGCGCTGCATCCAGTCATCGCTCTTCCTGTTCACCGCAGAACTTTTCATCGCCACCTTTTTAGCCATGAATCCTCCTAGTGCATTAGTCTAGTGGATTACATGCTCTGCATGCAATCCACTGGAGTGGCGCGTCTGTAGCACTTTGAGAGCCCATCTTATTCTTTTTACGTATCCTGTTTACCCACCTCCGCAGAAATTGTAATACAGCGCACTAACGAAGTGCTGCACCAAGGTACATCCAACTACGACTAAAAGGTTAACCGAACAATAGACTTCTTCACAGTAGGCACCAACTATGACTGTAAGCAGAAGCAAAGCTTGGAAGCAGACCATTACGCTTCAACGAACCTCCTCTTTGCACTGTTTGACCCACTTGCATCGACATTATTTGTTGCAAAAAAGAGGGTTTACCAGTTTATACGAAGGCCAGGCACACGTGCACACAAAAACAACTTCCTGTTTTTGTATAATTGCGTGAGCCCGTATCCGCTAATCAGTGACGCGGCGCATAATTCTTTGAAGGCGAGCTGACACTTCAAGGACAATTGTGTACTCTGCTGCAAGCGTGAATACATGCGACACTTACGCGGCGCTTAGTGCATCCTGCAGGCAGGTGTGTTTATGATTCGAGCAGAAATTGCGCCAGCAGAAACGCCTGAACCAGCTCGACGCTTCTCTATTTGGTTGGAAAGTTCCGATCATCTTCTCGCCACGGATCCCATTCACGCTTTTTAAAGTAGTTGGGGCTCTCAGGTCGGCAGAAAATCCGGCGTTTCAACTCAATTATTTGAGCTGCGGGAGGGCGCCTCCCCCTTGCGAATTCTTGAAGTGCAGACAGCAAATCGCGAACAAGCTTGTCTCTTTCGACTTTAGATTTTTTGACAGATTGTTTAGGGATTGCAATCTCCAGTGCTTTCCTCATCATCTTAGCCCACCACGTGGGCTGCTTCATTGGACCACCAACAGCTTCACAGATGCTCCACAAGCAATCCACCAGGAGGAAACGACGAGCCACTGGAATCAAGATCCACCAGCTGGGAAGTTCTCTGGTCTCAGTAAGAGGCAGCGACATGATGTTTCTTACCAATTGCTCACTAATGAAAATGAGAGATTGCACTTCATCGCTATTAAGAGACCTCTTGGTCAACAGACTATAAGCCTGCACCAGTAGCGTTACGGGAGACTTGCGAGGAGTATAGACGACGGCCCGACTCCAGCAAAACGGGACCACGAGTACACTTCCACTAATTCGCGGCAAACGATAAAACGGGTGATCATCTAATCTCAATTCTCTAGGGGAAGAATGTCCTTCCTCTCCACGGCTTCCGGGGTCGCTCTGTTGCGTCTGTATGCAGTCACAATTAGCAGACAGTAAGGAAATTACTGAGCACAAAAATGGGAAAGCTCATGAGCAGAACCACAAGACAAGCAGGTGGTCGTTGCATACCACTCAGCTCTGGTATACAGGTTTAAAATTCGGCGCATCGATCACAACAATACATATGCCATTGGTGGTCCAGCAAAAGCTGCCCAACTTCGATTTACTAACCGCAGAAAGTTCTGGGCGACAAGGGGAGGCCACAAAAAAATAAGTGAGAGGCTAGAATACGCATAGAGAGGACCTAATGCTGGGCTAACGTGAGTTGACATTTATAAAAACATTCGAAGAGGAGGAGTCAACTACGCTAGAGACGAAGAATCAGCTGCCTGACGAAAAGCAGAGTTGATGGAAAGTCGTGCGGTCCTCTGGTGACTTTGATTTTTGTCTTGAGAGCGTGGCGTGGTGACTTACAGTACGACGTATAGGTGCTTGCAAGATAGCCGATTCTACAGCTGCTTCATCGGTGTTCTCAGACAAAGCAACAGAGCTTGTAGAGGGCTCAGAGGGGAAGTAGTCTTCTTCCTGAAGTCGTAAACGCGCAACATCATGCACTACCAAAGCAGTAGCTGTGAGAAGATCATGAATGAGCAATGCACTGCTGGCAGCAGTTGCGGCAGTTCTGAACACAACAAAATGATTTTCAAGAGGCCTTGTTACTCCTCGATCGGCCAAAAAAATGCACTGCACATTACACGCACACCAGAGATTCCCTGTGGCACTGCTGCATAGACAAAGCCACTACGAGCAGTAGGCATCCAGGGATAAGGCCTTCCCCTGACTGCAAATTAATCACTTGTCGTTCAAACATGGTGAATGCTGTGCCAACACAAGTACCTGCAACGAATGCGACGCCCCACCAGGGTGCTCTTGTGATGAAGCGCCTCTTGGCTGGTCCGAGAGGAATTGCAGAGGCTCGGGAGCCCCAGTAACTCGTTCAGAAGAAGAAAGCTTGCTGCCAATTGCGCATGGGATCCCAGATCCTGAAGCTAAAGGCCCCTCACTGGCAGTATCCTCGTTTGGGCTGCCGTCTTGTCCAGGGCCAGACTCCACACCTCCACTAGGAGTAGCTACGTCCCTGCCTGAAGAAGTGCCTGATTGCTGTTGTAGAATGTGATCAAGAAACCACTGGTCAATCGATAAAGTAGGCGCCGTTAGCAACTCGCCTGTATCCATCAAAAGGCTGTCAAGCCATTCACCCTCTTCAGTACCGTCGGCGCCTCCAGTTTGTGTATGCCGATCTTCTAATTCTGAAGGCTCTGATTCTGCTGTAGCGGCCGCATTTTGTTTTTCTGGCCCCTCCGTTCTGGATTTTTTAGCCTGGTCTTCTCCTTCATCTGTGCTCATGAGCCTCTTCCTGCCAGTGGTGGTACCTTGAACCCCCGCATCTACTCTTTCCAAAGGCGACTCCTCGGGCCCTGAGTCGCTTATACTTTCTTCTCCTGAGAAAAGCTGCCGGCACTTTTCTTCATCTTTGCCGTCAGCCAGCTGACGGGAGACTGGACCAGACAATTTCAGCGAAGGGCTTGAAAAGAAACAGAAGTAGGCCGTCAGGACAATGGAGAGAATTGCTGCCACAGCATAACCCACTAAAGATACAGAATTGAATCTAGTTCGTGAAGAAGAAGGGAAAATGGGGCTGCCATCATTGTCATTGTCGGCTGGGAGTGGAGGCGAACCAGACCGACGAGCATCATAAACCTCCTGCTCGCCCACATGCTGAGGTTCACTAACCCAGTCAGAGATTTGCATTTCAAACACGGTGAGATAGTTAGATTTGAACTGTAGATCTGGATTCCACAGCCATGCCCATGCAGGGCATTGCAGCCATGAATCCAGGACAAAGTATAGTCTCAGGAACTTGAGAGGAACAATTCAAAGAAATCGACGATTTTTCGTCGTCAGCTTGCATTAGTAAAGTGGAAGCGTTGAAAAGTATTAACACATATAAATAGTGCGCTCTTCACAGTAATTACTGGGCCGTCAATTGCACCAGTTGGGCCGCATTGCAGTGAACGAGTGATCGTTCGCCGCTTCTCTGAATGTGTGTACAATCGCATCCTTCCAACCGACCACAGACTAATCTACATTATGGGCCACCCACCTTTTTTCTTCTTATTTATTTCTGCCAAACTAGCATGTGCTTCATCTGTACGGAATCATTGCAGAGTTCCGCCTGAGGCAAGGGCGTGCTCGTGCCAGCTTGGAAACTAGTGTTCGGTTCAAAACCGTGACTGGAGGTTAGGAAATCAAATTTCTAAAATTTTGAGGTAGGTTTTTGATATCTTGCAATATTGACGTGCCGTTTTTCAGCCACAAAGAGTGAAACAAAGGCAGCAGAAACCCACAGAAACGGTGCACGACCAGTTCTGAGCTTCTGCACTTCGCGACAAGTTGAGGCCACGACCGGACCCTACTATTGTCGACTCAATATTAATTTATACCTAATAAGTGAATCATTTAGCAGAGATCGATGTTACTTTCAAGATAAAGTACGGAAATGCAGCACGCCGGCAGCGTCGATGCACTGTGGCTGGATGTTCATTGCCCGCAGCTGCTCCTTAAGTAACTTCTTGAGCTGCATATATATATAGCCAGGAGCTCATTTATTCGCTTTTAATGAAATTTCACTCGCAACATACTTCATAATGGGCTGCCCATGGACCGTGTACAAGGGCGCGCTTGAAGCGCTGCACAGTGCACTTCAGCACGGGAATGGCCTCGACAGACCATAAAATCAGAATTTTATACATGTAAAGCAAACATCACGCACAAAATATGTGAATAGGCAGAGCACTGAGGGTGGTTAGAAGCCGGACCTCCGTATCATAGCCGGTTGGGGCTGGTAGCAACTAGCTGGCAAGCAGAGACTCTGTGCACGTCAAGAATTCCGGCACTGCAAACCGTGCTCAAATGTATCTTGCTTTCCTTTAGAACGAGTGGCTTTCTTAAATAAATGTTTGTGTTACTTTAATGTTTTTGTTAACTTTATAAGGTGTACTACAGAGTAGGCAGGTAATGTGGGGAACCAGCGACTCGTGCGCTGGCCTTCCTCGAATCCAAATAGATGCTGTTTCGAGATATTTGTGGACCGCCCCACAGCTCACATTTATATTCAGCAGTTCATATCACAGCATATTGGAACTTCGAAAGAAAAATATTTTTCAATGTGGGATGTGCGGCTGTGAAACGAACGAGTCGCTGCATCAGAATGGCCCTCACTGGAGAAGTCTATACCGCGAGCACCCAGCGGATGCTCGTCAAGCTTCCGACGAAAATACATTTTAAACAAATTCACGTTTCCATCTACGGTACATTGGGAATGACGCCACTACGCTGCACCATAGGCGCTCGTGGCGATATTGTACCTGTAAGCCACGTAACCGTTGGTTAGGAGCTGATCGCTGAAGTCGAACTTTTACGGCGACTATAGCATGAATATCTGGGGAGGACGTTTGCAACGCATCTAACGAGGACGGTAGCTCCACAAATTTTTTCCTGAGTAGAGTGTAGATCCGCTTCAGCGATGTTTCAGTGATGGTGGGCTAGACTTACGATGGTAAAACCAGTGGCTGTTAGGGCACTTCATGGATGTAGCCCTACAATTGAGGATGTATTTCAAGAATGCTGTAGATATCAGCGTCATGGAACTGGTAAGGCAGCGGACTCAGGGGATATTTTGTGCAGCGTAACCAAGTAGAATAACACAAGTGCCGGCGAGACTAGAGTGAATGGGAGATAACGAGTAGTATTAAGCAGGTGCCGTAGTGAGGCGAAATGTCACTACAGATAGAAATAAAATGTCGAATTCACGCGGCGCAAAGCTCCTTCGGGGTTCAGGTAAGACTGCCATGCAAAGCTGGATGGTAATGGTATCGCCATGGGAGGATTGAACAGGTCTGGGTTTCCGTTGGCATGAGTTGTCCGAATCAAAAAGGCAAAGAAAGGATACATGGACATACAGGCTTCTGGGACTAGGAACAGGGGCTACGTGCTAATGGTGAGAGAAGGTGGGAACGCGACTGGAGAAAAGGCTGGAAGTAGAGAAACTCCTGTGTAGAGGTCACAGAAATCACACAAGGAATTATCTTCAGTGATATGAGCAAATTGACAGATCCAGTAGGTGTGCAGGAGCTCCCGTGTGCAGTACTTTAGTGTGCCAAACAGATGAGCTTCAATGTCATACAATTCGGAACGTGAAGATCCACACGATAGCTAGAAGTAACTGCCGTGCAGAGAAATTCAGGCCTCGTATGGTGAAGCCTACCAGGACCTGGAGTTAACTAAACGGTTTGGGGCTATCAAGAGTCACTGGAGCCACAGTTTGCTGCACGCTCACTCAGCGAGAGAGAAGTATCGGAAGCAAACAGAAGTATAAAGCAGTCTAAAGCCCTACATGGCTCTGCTTCGTTCTACTAAATCTCCAAAATGTAACTTTTGTGTATAGCCATAGGTATTGGCGTATGCAGCCAGAGCAGGAGAGACAGGTACGAGTCTGCTTGATGGCTTTTGCGCAGCTGGAGTATCTATACAGTACCTTCCTCTCTTCATTCGGCCGCATTCATTCTTCAAAATGGGTGTACGCCAAGGCGGCCGTGGCCCATGGCAAGTCTTTATTGTCAGCCCCGCTTTGTAAGTAGACTGAAAAACGCAGATGTAGGCATCCAATTGTAATGCTCAGCTAGCGAACGCAGGCAAAGTTCTTAACGCGCTGCTCACAAATGAATGGTAGGTAGCCTACCCAAAGCCGGCAATGCCATTATGGAGTCGAGTTCTGTAGTGCACTCCGTCGTTGTGTCGCTTTAGCCGGCGCCTCGCGCAGTGGCTTCTTGATAGGCATGCTGGCCTTGGATCTGCGGTTTGATTTGTATCCTTTGGGGGTGGGGCCGAATAGTATAGTCGCATCTGCCTCCTGTAGAGGACTTGCCGGGCCAGCATTTCTGTAGGCTTCGTCGGCTGTGCTCCACGCGTGCGCCTTCTGTGGCTGTGTGCCCTTCGCCTTCGCTTCTTGTATTTTTCTGATTGGTAGACCACACCGTCGATTATTCATGTCGGCTAGTAGCCTGTCGGACTGAAGGTACCACCCCACCTTATGGTGTGTTAGCCAGTCGAATCCGAATACAAAGTCATAAGGTACAGCTACCACCGAGACATACACCACAAGACGCTCACTCGCACACCACATAGACGGCCCCGTAAACTCGTAGTCGTCATGTAGGGACTCCTTTGACAAAAGCTCGAGTAATAGTCGATGTTCAGGGGAAACGTCCGCAGTGCCAGTCCGTTGACTGTTATCCGACTAACGCAAAGATGCAATGCACCCGTGTTGGGAAGTGCCTTACATTCATGCCTATGTATCCCAACGGTAAACACAGCGGCCTGTACCACGCTCAACAGTATCCCCCAGCTCTCATCTGCCGAATCCGCAAACACCTGCAGCGCCACTGCTAGGTGGCTTGCTGTTCATCACTTCCCGGAGCCTCACGCAGTTTGTCTGCCTTGGTTTGTTTTGTAGCTTCCCTGCAGGCAGTACTTGCGGTAGCAACCTTTAACTCGAGTAAGCTCTGCTTCTCCCCCACAATGTACGCCATGGGCGCTGCTGTAGTTCTTTCAGCTACACCCGTCCCCTTTCTGTTTCTTCAACGATCTCTGCTTCCGGCTGGGTGGGCCTTCAGTGGGATTCGGACCTGCGGCGGCGGCACACAGCAGGCTTTCGCCTTTTCACTGGTGTGTAGGAGATTTGTCTCCCGCAACCACTAGGATTTGCTGTTTAGGTGCTGCTGCTGCGCTTTCTACCGACAGGATCTGTTAAGGCCTCTGGCACTTCCGTAGTACGGTGGCGTTGGCCTGGATAGTGGCACATCACATAGCGTAGCGTCCCACACGCCTGCATGTCCTGCATGTTGCCTGAAGTTCTCATGAGGGCCATCCCTCGTCAAATGCCGTTTGCGTTTCCCTTGCACCCATAAGACAATATGCTGTCCACGCTTTTGGTAGTTGGTTTGTGTGCTCTGTCAGTTCGTTGGTCTAGATCAGGTTGAACCGTGTGAGTAGTCCACCGAGTCAGGGCTCTAATTCGTTCTCACGGCAACTTTGCTGATGCTTCTCTCCTGTCCGTGAGCTTGACGTTTCCGTCTTTTTCTGGGCGCCCTGCGTAGCTCGAACAGCAAGTGAGCCAAGTAGTACCCCGCGTGCTCCGCTGCAGGCGCCTCTCCCCCTGTTGTAACAATCTTTACGAAGCCAGCCAAGCATTTTCTGTCGTGTTCACATTTTACGGTCTCATTTATCTGGCTGCGGCTCTGATATCTCTGGAAACTTTTGCCCCACGGTCAAACGAAGAAGATTTCCCAGCGGCTGCTCCATTTTTCGGTTCGAGCGGGCAACGTTCGCGGCTTGACGCGTGCGTGAAGGGGCTTCTGCTCGTTGCGATCCTTCTGAGGGGTGTCGCTGGTGTCTTGGTAAGCTAGGCTTTGGAGCTGCTTCGCTTAACTTTGCTCGTGGGCTCCGGACATTCTGGACGCCTGGTAACTAGAATGCGCCCGCTCCAAACGCGCATGGTTGGCGCACGCTCGCATGCTAGACACCATGACTCTCTCGGCTCAGAAACGTAAAAGTTGCAAACTGTATTCCATGTGTGATTTGGAGAAGTATTTCGCGGGGAAGCTCCCAGATTTGAATGAGCTGGGCGCATCGAGGGTCGCAGGTCTCCCCTGGTCTGAAAGGCTCATGCTTCTTGCTGCCCAGAAGACTAC